ATAGATATTTGAAACAGAAGATGTCAGATTGGATTTAACTTTAATTTGAACCATTTGTACGTTTATAAAGTGTTTGTTTTCACTGTGCTACGTTCTGCTCATTGATTTCAATGGTTAGCGTTAGCATTAGCTCAGTGCATGGAGATCCCCCTTGTGAAGCCACGCCCAATCTAGTGATATATATCAGTGGCTTTAACCCCTCCCAGGTTCTGGTCCAGAATTAGATGATTACAGGGAAACCTCTGGTTCTGGTTCTGTTCTGCAGGGCCATCCTGTACGAGCTGGGTCTGCAGGAGAAACTGACCACAGAGCAGCTGGCCAAGAAGTGGGACAACCTGAAGAGGAGGTATAAGGTGCGTCTGTGGACCGGACCCTTCATCAGGCTGCTGAAGGTGAGGATGATGATGATGATGATGGTGGTCCTCCTGTTTTCATCCAGGAGCTGAAGTTCCCCTCTCGGGCGGTGGAGACGAACCCGAGCTCCTGGCCCTGGTTCTACAGAATGAATGACGCCATGGAGGGCCGGCTCTCCGGCGCCGCCCCCATCCTCACCCCCATCGTGGGGGATGAAGACGAGGACTGCGAGCCGCTCTCGTCCACCTCGAAGAAACGAGCCCGCCGGAGCCGAGGGGGGATGACTGAGTTCCTGACCGAGTCTGAGATGGACCTGCTGGTTGATAACGAAGACAAGAACGGGTCGTCGGCTCTGGGGGACCTGCACCGGGTCACAGAGTTCTCCTACAAACGTAAGACTGGACCTGAAGCAGCTGAAAGTGAGCTAATAACGTTAAAAAAGAGTCAAACGGTTCTGTTCGGCCCACCAGTGACAGAAGAGGACACCCGGCGTCTGATCGAGCTACGAGCTGCTAACGAGTCCCTGTTCACCGGCAGGAGGAACACGTCCAAACCTGCCTGGAGGTCTGCAAACCTTCACGACTTTCCCCCAAAAATTATGAAACTATTTCTGATTCTTTGTGCTTCGTTTCCTGTCTGCTTCTGTTTCAGAGGAATCGTGAAGGAAATGGGTCTGACGGGAAAATTAAGTCCTGACCAGGTCGCCAAGAAGTGGGACAACTTAAAAACCAAGTTTAAGGTGAAAATCTGTAAATAATGCACTCTGCCACCAGGGGGCAGCACTGTGACGTTTCAGTAAGGAGGTTCTGTAGAACATCTGGAGCTCAGAAACCACTGTGTGATGGCTGGAGAAGCTAACGGCTAACGCTAAACCATCAAGACTCTGGATTTCCCATCACTGTACATGTTGGTGACAGAGCAGACAGAAAGGACTGACCATGTAGAAATCATTAAAACTATTAATAATAATATTAACACAATTATTATTAATATTTTACAGTTTATATAATCTATCTAATGACTTAAATAATGTCAGAAAAGCTGTTTGTGTTATGGATTTATTAACAAGATAAACAGGAAAGCGTCTCATTTTACAACACAAGTCGGCAGATTTGATCTTATTTAGCTCAATGTGATCTGAGCAGAACATAATGTAACAGTTTAAAATTAAAATAATCTTATAAAGT